TGTGCGGACCTGGCCCCTCCCGTGTGCGGACCTGGCCCCTCTCCCTGTGCCGACCTGGCCCCTCCCGTGTGCGGACCTGGCCCCTCTCCTGTGTGTGACACGCGGCACTTGGCTCTGTGCTTCGCAGGCCGACCACACCGAGAGCAGGGGCCACCGGGGCTTCACCAGAAGTATGAAGGCCACACTAAGGGCTCAGAAACCAGCACCAGGGTCCAAATGTTTGGATCCTGGCTCTGCCACTTACAACGCGGTCACTTGGGCCAGTCAGCTGTGCCTCTGTCCCCACACTGAAACCACGTTAGCAACCGTTCCTCCTGAGAAGCAGATAAGCGACTACGTGGGCAGCCTTGCGGCAGGGGCTGCAGCATGCTCCCTGCGGGGGGCTGCAGAGCAGACGGCTCCTACAGACACGGCACCCAGGATGCCAAGGCAGCTCGCACTCAGCGCGCAGGGCTCACAGCGGGAGCTCTCTCATCTCCCTGGACCTTACACGCCGCAGGGCAGTGGTGCTGTGCTCCTTCTATACACATGGAAGCTGACGCACAGGCCCCGGTACCTGCCCCAGGACACAGGGCCGCCAGGCGGCACGGCCAGCACTGGTACTCGAGGACAGCTGACCTCAAAGCTTGTGTCCTCTCTCACACTGCCCCAAACTCCCAACCCAGGAAGCCCTGTGCCCCGAGGGGCTCCGGGACCCCTCAGCGGCGCTCCTGAGCCCTCATGCAGCAACCACACCCTCCGGCCGGGGTCACAGGATGACGTGCTCCTGGGACCACAGCCACCAAGCCACGTGTCGCCCGTCCAGGAGCCAGAAGGCCCAGCTCCCAGTCAGACCACGAGAACCTCAGTGGCTGTGGGGGACACACCCACACTCTGGGCCCCTGTTTCCTGGGGTATAGAATAAGTAAGCTGGACCAGAGATATCGGGGGGATACCTTCCACCTTAAACATTTCCACCCCAGGATGAAGTTCAGCAAAACTTATCCAGCAAGAACCGAAGTGAGGGGATCAGGGACTCATTCTCAGTGAGAGCCCTGGTGTTTCTTCCGTTCTACTGCCACCCAGAACCGGTCCTGGGGGAGGGGAGGGGCGCCTCACAGCTCACCACACAGACCGCTGTCCCCACCACCGTCCCGCTTCTGCTGCAGGGGTGCCCGGCTCTGCTCCACCTCCTGACAGACATAAATGGTCATCTTCGGCCTCACGTTCCTGGCAGGAAGAAAGGAAATAGCAGGTGCGGGAGACCAAACTCTGTTGTTGCAGATTGTTCCAGAACACAGGGTGACCCAGCCGCCGGAAGGACTCCGGGAGAAAGGAAGGCGGCCGTGGGGGTGCAGCATGCCTTTCGTGGTGGGGGTGGGGCAGAATCCCAGCCAGGCCGACCTGCTGAGGGGCTCTGCCCAAAACAGGAACCTCCAGAATGAGGCATTTCGCAGGGTCACAAGAGCAAACCCTTCCTCGGGCTGACTGCACCGGGACATTCTAGAACGTTACATGCATAACGCCTTCCATCCTCACACCGCCGACGAGGGAGCAGGGACCGCCATCCCCATCCTACTGATGAGGAAACAGGCTCACAGGGGTCAGGGCCTTCACCCAGTTGCAAAGCTACTGAGGGCAGATCTGGGTTCAAAACCAGGCTCTCACTCGACTACCCACGTGTAGATATTGGTATTTAAACTCATTAGTTAAAGCTTAAAACTCCGTTTGTCAGATCAAGCGCTCCACGGCACGGCCAGGGCTGCTGCCCTGAACGGTGAGCCAGAGCGCTGCCGTGGCGGCAGGCAGTGCCCCAGGACCCAGCCCTGCTCCACTCCTCCCGGAAACCACTCACAGGCTGAGCAGCCTGCCCAGCCCACGGTCCCTCCGGGAGGAGGCAGCCTGAACCCGACCACGCAGGCATCTGACAACCTGTGGCCAAAGGCCACGGCTCCCGGCAGACCAGGAGGAGGGGCCTTGCGGCCGGGGGTGCTGCAGCGGCTGCTCCGGGTTCCCCGTGCGTGTGCAGCCCCTGCCCCTCACCCTCCACCGCATCTCCTCCCACACTTGCCCCAAGGCCGTGTCAGCTTCCTGCCCGCCCTGCCTCCAGCTGGACGCTGACACCCACCTGCCTTTGATGGCGTTGAAGAGCCGGATCCCATCTGCGGGGCCACAGATCTGCACCAGATCGTCTCGAGACATTTTCAGCAAGTCAGCACCTAGGCAGCACGTGGGACTGCCCGTTACGTGGGACACAGAAAGGCTCCATCCCCAAACCCCGCAGACCCGGCACCGGGGCAGAGGGCAGAGGGCAGGGGACAGGGAGCCAGCCTCATCCTCACGGGCACCAGACGCTCCATGGAGCGAGAAGCAGCAAAGAGCCAAACAACATCAGATCACAGCCCCAAAATGTCAGAAGCTGCATGACATGCTCACAAAAGGCAGTAGGACAGGCGTTTACAGAAGCTGTGCCTGCCCCCTGCCCCCAGCCCCAGCCTCTGTATTCTCGGCATATGATGCGTGTGTACCTCTGAGGGGACGGGGCATGGATTCTGTGTACACTCGTCTGCAGGCAGAATGCGTGCTCATGGCTGCAGCCATTCCACAGGCACCGTGCAGCCAGCACACACACGGGGCAGAGCGCGCCCAGCATCCCACAGCCCTTGCGCCAGCACTGCCCCGGCTCTGGGAACCGCTGTCCTGACTTCTTACAGTTAATACGATGTTTTGGGTACAATTCTGTAGGCACAACAGCTCCCTTCCCACTGGGGATGAAAGCCACCCTGCTGGTGGGGCTCAGTTGATTGAGCATCGTCCCATGCACCGAAAGGTCGCTTGTTTGATTCCCAGTCAGGGCACATACCCAGGTTGTGGGTTCAATCCCTGGCTGGGGTGCATACGGGAAGCAACCAATTGATGTTTTTCTCTCTCTCCCTCTCCCTTCTCTCTAAAATCAATAAAAACATTTATTTTTAAAGAAACCCAAAGTCCTTCCAGTGTCCCACAGGGCCCTCAGCACCTCTACCCCCCACCCCTCCCCCATCCCCTCAGCCCCACTCAGCTGGACCCCTGCTGCATGGCCACACCAGGCAGGTGTCTCCTGGCAGCCTTGGCATTTCCCTCTGCTTGGAAAGCTCCATGACCCACGGGGCTCGCTCTCTTGCCTCCTTTCAGCCTTTACTCAAGACACCTTCTCAGTAAGGCCTATGCTGACCACCCAACTCAAGACCACAGCCGGCCCTCCCCGCACCCCCTCCAGGCCAGGCCAGGCCCCTCCTCTGAGCCTTCCCATCCCAGATGGGTCACACCACTCTGCAACGCCTGGTTTATGTATCCGCACTGACTCCGTGGGGACAGGGTCCCTGTCAGGCCCTCCTCACACGCCCCCTCCCCATCCTGACAAAGGCTGAGCTGGAAAACAACTGGGGGCTTTCTTCCCACTGCCACAGAGGTCGGTCCTAGAGAGCCACTCTCCTCCTCGGTCTCTGGCCCTCTGGACTGACCTGCTCCTGTCCCCTCTGGACTGACCCTGCTTCCTGTCCCTCTGGACTGACCTGCTCCTGTCCCTCTGGACTGACCCTGCTCCTGTCCCCTCTGGACTGACCTGCTCCTGTCCCCACTGACCCTGCTCCTGTCCCTGTCCCTCTGGACTGACCCTGCTCCTGTCCCTGTCCCTCTGGACTGACCCTGCTCCTGTCCCTGTCCCTCTGGACTCACTCTGCTTGGTGGATGGCTCACGCTCAGTTTACCCTCGCACCCATACCTCCTAGCTCCGGGTTCGGCCTGATGAATCATCAGTAAGGCTTAAACACCTTTTAAAGATATAGAACAGCTTTCCCTTCTCACCTGGGGCTTCGCCCCCATCGTCCAGGAGTGGCCCTGGACCCCATGTGACGAGCAGCATTTGGTGGGAGAGCTACCAGGGAGGCTTGTCGCATGTGCACTGGCCTGCGTGGCTCAGGGGCCAACCCAGGCAGACAGGAGCCTGGCAGGTGTGACGGATGCTGATAAGGTGCCAGGTGACCCTCCCTTAGAGCCGCACTCGGCTGGCAGCTTCTCGGGCAGGACCCCGGCGCTCAGCACTGGGCCCAGGTCAGCAAGTGTGAGTGAGTGGCCCCCACCGCTCTGGGTCCCCAGGACAAGCCACAGCCCCTGGCACCGAGGGCGCGTCCCGGGAGGTAACTGGCCTTGCTGCGCAGTTCCGAGGTCCCCATTTCCAAGGTCCCGCATGTCCAGAGCCGCTCACCTGAGAAGCTGGCGAAGAGCCGGCAGAACTGTGAGAACCTGTGGCGGTGCAGCCACTGCTGGGCGTCCTGGATGGAGGCGGACGGGAGCAGGTGCTGCGGGAGAGGGGGGGCCTTGACATGGCGGCCCAGGGCCCAGGGACAGGCCGGGGGGCCAGGACGGGCAGGGCCCAGGGACAGGACGGGCAGGGCCCACTTACATCGCTGCCCATGGGCAGGGTCTCCAGCGGGTGGGAGTGGGTCGGTGAGGTGCTGCTGCAAAGGAAGCGACAGAGGTGAGTGCGAGGCCTCAGGGCTGGTGCAGGTCCTCCCTCACCTGCCTGTTGCTTCTCCCCCCTCAGCTCGGAGGCTGTTTTTATTTATTTTTTTAATATATTTTTGTTTTATTGATTTGAGAGAGAGAGGTTAAGGAGAGGGAGTGAGAGAGAAACATCAATGATGAGAGAGAAACATTGATCGGCTGCCTCCTGCACTGGAGGAGGGGACAGGGTGGGCGCTGGGCTGCCGACAACATTCAGAGAAGCTGTCCAAGCACAAAAAGCTGGGCAAGTGCTAAACATGTTGTGAATGCAGCACCCGTCAGCCACCCTGACACCCACATTGAGGCCAGGCTACAGGAGAGAAGACGCGAAGAGGAAGGGCAGGGAAAGAACCATGCCTGACATCCCTCCAGGGGCGGGGGGGAGAGGGGGGTCACACATACCCTTCGCCAAGGCCGAAGCTGTTTGGAGAGCCGTTGTAGCTTGGGGACGGGGCGCTGTTCACCTGGTAGGCCACGTCGGGCCACGGGGAGCACTGCGGGGAGAGAGCGCAGGCAGCGGTGACTGCCGCGGGGCTCCAGGAGGAGCCAGACCTGCCGGCGCCTGGGCTGCACCGAGCAGCATCCATTGAAGTCAACAGACAAACCCACGGACGCTTCAACACCCGGCTGCCTTCACCCTGTGGCCCCGTGAGCCCGGACGGGAGGCTCACTCCCACCCCAAGAACCGAAGACAGCAGCAGAGACCAGATGCGCAGCAGGTCATCCCGGAGCAAAGTGGACACATGTCTCTGTGAAACCCTAGTCGTCAAACCAAACAGGGACACACCATCGGCCACATGACTACCGGGCCCACGAGAGAGGAAAACAAAAGTGGGCGACTGCCCACAGCAGGTCCCGGGGCAGACAGATGGGTGCAAAGGCAGGAAGCAGGGAGCTCGGACCAGACAACTCCCAAACAAGAAACCGCTGGGAAGCCCGGCATCAAACCCTGCGGTGTTTGAAAACCCTGCAGATGGGCCTCCGCGTTCACCAGGAGCAGCCTCGTCAGCTCAGTCCTGTGGGTGTAGGGCACGCAGGCGCCCTGCCCCAGCTCAGGGAGACAGCAGCACCAGACGCACCCTCGACCTCAAGGAACTTGTGCAGAAGCCGAAGGTGAGTACATGGAGGGTCCCGGAGGAAGCAGACGCACGGGGCTGGCCTGCTGGGAAGCCAGCGACGGCTCACCTGCCTTCCCCGTGACGGCACGTCTTTGGAGAGGCCAGTCTAAAGCGTTCCTAAAGACTCACTGTCACACACCGCAAGGGCTGGTGAATAGTTACCTCTGCTCTCAGTGTGGCTGGGTTTGTTGGTGTAAACCCCAGAGGAACAAACTGACGAGAGATACAAAGGAGCCGTCACCTTACAAGGTCACAGGCCAGGTGGGTGCTTCGCCGACCACGCCGCACTGTGCAGGGCTTGGAAAGATGCATGAAACACAGGCCTGTCCACACGAGGAAGCCACAGGAGCGCGGGGTGCAGAGGCCGAATGAGGCTCAGCCCGGAGGCCGAGGAGAGCAGCAGCACCGGCAGAACTCAGCCTGGGAACCACCCGGGCCTGAGCTGGCCCCGC